GATGTCTCAATCCTCCATGCTACATTGCTGTGGCCAAGTTCTCGGCCATAATGACATTCCTCTGTTAGGGGTCATTGGCACTTGGCTTTTACAGACTTTGAGTCTGACTCACACACTGCCTGCAGATGGATCTTACAGAACCACCATAATTTATCTCTGCTCGCCGGCTTTTATTATTTATACATGTGTGTGTAATTTGTTCCGTTTTGTTTTTCTGCCTGAATCCCTCAAATTAAATCGCGTGCATTACAAATTCATACTCTGCTTGTTTTAAGCAAGGTCTTTTAGAAAGCCAAAGAGCCTCGGTTTTCCCATTTCCCAAACTTCACAGTAAACACTGATGACACAAAACACCTCAGGAGCTTCGTGTATCTCTTCAAAGGGAACTGCTCTTGCGTGCACATGTGCTTATTTGTACGTCACTAGGACAGCCTTGGGTTGTTGGGTGATTTAGAGAGATTACACTCTCGGACTTCTGCATGCTTGGTGATGTCATAAAGAATAAACTCTAATACAATAACTAAGCTCTTGCGCCAACTGCTGTGAGGGTAAGCAACTGGATCAAAGGCCAGGGGAGGTGAGTGTGCAATGCAAGGACTGGAAATGTGCTAAAAAGGTGAATCTGCCTGCATATTTCAACTAAAAAAAAATAAGTCTAGCGCCGTTAACAAGAGAAGAGAGGCTTTACTGACAGAATTATTCATATTACTGACAACTCCCTGCAGTCAGGCCAGGTCTTGCGTTTGACCCAGAGCGCTTTGGGGTTATCAAGGGTAAACCAGATTTGAAGTGCCTTTCCGTGTTTGCTTTCTCAGAACTTGGAAAGCTACAGATTGCACTGGCATAACCTGCTCAACGCCGCAATGCCCCTGTGTGAAGAAGAGGAGTGGGCCGTGAGGAACGGGGGAAATATGAAAGACACAGTTGAGTAGCAGGCAGGCTTACTAAAGGTATAACAGCTTCTGCGATGATCTCATCCAAGCAAATCTATAATACCTGAGGAGAGTTATCCGATTGCATTCCCATTCATCTCAAATCCCAATGGTGCTTACTTGCCTATGCCCATCTTTGCTCAGGGGATCCTCAGGATTTTTTTTGTGCCAATTGTCAGATAACTCCTCCTCAAAGAAATCTGTGTAGATGTAAATCAGCTTATAGAAATATATGTTGCATTGCAGTGACTCTGCATCCCACTTTGCCCAAAAAAGAAAAAGAGCAAAAAGAGAACATATATTTAGAAAATATCCTCAGAAAAGCGCATGCATTTGATTTGGTGGAAAGTAATTTAGAATTAATGAATAAAAGTCATTAGAGAAGGATTTGAGCAGTGTAGAAAATCACAGACAGGTTTAAGTAAAACTGAAGTCACATGAGTTTTTGCACAATCACCAGTCAAAGTACTGTAAAGATTCATTACAGTTCATTTTTTTGTAAGATTCCCATGAATAGATACTGTATAAGTGAGACAATTTTAATGATTATAAAGGCACTACTTTGCTTAAAAAAAGTTAGTAATTTTACTAGTTTCATTTAATATATATTTTATATCTGTCCCTTTTTATTGTTTTTAAAAAATGCTTACTGTAATTTAAAGGGTTTGTTAGGGCAGACAAACACATTACACGTCTTTTTTTCATGGAAAACATGCTACCAATCCATTCTTTTTTCTTTTTTTTTTTGTGACAATCATCAGGTTACTCCTTCCCCTTTAAAGAATTTTTTGTGTATTTGTAGATAAACTCACCGACCACTTTATTAGGCACACTTTACTAGTACGGGGTTGGACCCCCTTTGGCCTTCAGAACTGCCTTAATCCTTCATGGCATAGATTCAACAAGGTACTGGACATATTCCTCAAAGATTTTGGTCCATATTGACATGATAGCATCATGCAGTTGCTGCAGATTTGTCAGATGCACATACAGGATGCAAATCTCCTGTTCCACCACATCCCAAACGTGCTCTATTGGATTGAGATCTGGTGACTGTGGAGGCCATTTGAGTACAGTGAACTCATTTTCATGTTCAAGAAACCAGTCTGAGATGATTTGTAACAATATTCAGGCATACTGTGGTGTTGATACAATGCTCAATTAGTACTAATGGGCCCAAAGTGTGCAAAAAAAAATTCCGCCACACCATTACACCAGCACCACTAACCTGAACGCTTTCGTGTTGTTGACACCAAATTCTGACTCTACCATTCAAATTCCGCAGCAATAATCAAGATTCATCAGACCAGGCAACAGTTTTCCAATCTTTTATTGACCAATTTTGGTGAGTCTGTGTGAATTGTTGCCTCAGTTTACTGTTCTTACTGTAGCTCACAGGAGTGGCACCTGGTGTGGTCTTTTTCTGCTGTAGCCCATCCGCCACAAGTTTTAACATGCTATGCTTTCAGAGATGCTCTTGTGTATACCTTGGTTGTAACGAGGGTTTATTTGAGTTACTGTTGCCTTTCTTTCAGCTCGAATCAGTCTGGCTATTGTCATCTGGCATCAACAAGGCATTTGCTCCCACAGAACTTCCGCTCACTGGATATTTTATCTTATTTTAGACCATTCTTTGTAAACCCTGGAGATGGTTGTGCAAGAAAATCCCAGAAGGTCAGCAGTTTCTGACATAGTCAGACCAGCCTGTCTGACACCAACAACCATGCCAAATTCAAAGTCACTTAAATCACCTTTCTTCCCCATTCTGATGCTCGGTTTGAACTGCAGCAGATCGTCTTGACCATGTCTACATGCCTAAATGGATTGAGCTGCTGCCATGTGATTGGACCCTTAATCAATGTACCTAATAAAGTGGCCGGTGTGTGTGTATATCAGTCTCTGACAATTTCAAAGCATTTGAGCTTTTATTAATATATTGCAGTGATTTTTCCTCCACCCAGAAATAGAAATAAATGAACAAATATTCAAAACTATATCATTACAAAAGCATAAAAATTGAATTTGATGGAGGGTAATTGAGAATTAATGAAGGAAAGTTATTTGAGAGAAGGCTATGACTGTACACGATTGGTCATAATTGGATTTGATTGGTTCATGCAATTAAACATCTCTTGTTTTTTTCTGCTCATTCAATGCTTGCAACTCTGAATAAACAAAATGATGCTGTTAAAGGAAAAACAAAAAAGTTAAAACCCTAGCACCCAGAAACTGTCATTATAATTTGACAATATTAAATGACCTTTTTAATTATATGTATTTAAATTATATTATAAATTATGTGCCATCTTCCAGCCATCTTTTTTATACGTTGCATACATATATATGTGAATGTGCACATCAATGTATATAGATTGTAAGGAATGAGCATGAGTCATGGTGATCTTCTGATGCGCACATCATTTTCACTCTCCTACACATCCCTTGCCAGCAATCGAGTTGAAGCTCACAGGGGCAGGAAGGAACAGTCAGGGTGCATGAGCTTCACAATCTTACCTTCTTCACATACTGAGGGCTCCGGTGTCAACAGAGATCACAGGATGCGGCTCTGGAAATGATTTAAAAGGAATTTGAAAGTTGACATTAATGGTACATCTGCAATTCATGACCTTCTGAGGCAAGAAATTACATTTGACATCCTGAAACAGTCGCGAAGCTATTGTGTGAGTCAGGAGGTTCCATTTTCATACCCCAAGGTGAACAGTCTGACTGTCATCATCTGCATAGCTAATTATGTTTGTGCAATTTCTCTTCCTGTGCACTGAAGGGACATTTTTCTCCATTTGATTTTTTGAAGGCCATCTTTAGTTTTTCATGTAGCAGTTGAATTTGACTTGAATAGACTTTTTTCTTGCATAATAGATATATTTTTATATTATTTGCAGTTTTATTAAAGTATAGAACTGAAACATACATGAATTTTAAAATTTAATGACTGCATCTAAGTGAACACCATACAGGGCTTTCACATGTCATGGAGGTCTATTCCAGGCATTGAAAGTAAAGGAAGTTTATATATTTTTCTACAAGTCATGAATATCAGGGATTTTTGTTTGTCATTTTCAATTTTACCTCCCATTTATCAAAAAAAAAAAAAAAAAAAAAAAAAATTTCCTGCACCATGTTTTGTGTTGTTTTGTGGTGCTTTTTCTTATAGTTTGAAGCAATGTTTGAGGCATTTCTTGTGTTATTTTGCTGTGGCTGAATGTGCATTGTGAACCTTAAGCAGGTCACACACCTAAAGAGTAAATAAGCTCTCTCTATATGTGAATATAATGTTATTTAAAAAAAAAAAAAAACGGTGAACAGTGCCTGTCCAAAATCTACAGGAAACCTGTGGCAATAATAAAAAAGTCAAGCTCCTCCTTTGCACGGTTTGCTTGATGTTTGAGTTTTCCTATTCATTATAGGTAATCGAAATTCAGCTGTCTGGTCATATAGACCTTTGGTTCTCAAACTTTTTTCATCAATTACCACTTTAGAAAAAAATTGTCTCTCCAAGTACCACCATAATAAGCAGTATTGAAAAACAGTAGCGTGGTAGATCCAGTAAGGCAGCTACAGTTCTGCACAGTTCAAAAACGTGGCAGATTAATTCCTATTATTAAGAAAATTTATTATTATCAGCCACTTTAAATACTACACAGTAAATTTTGCTGTGTTGAATAAACTCTTAAAGAGTTAAATTTAACACTGCACGTGAGTGTATTTGGTCCCACTCAGAATTGGTGTTAAATTAACACTTTTCATTGTGTTATATTTTCAGAGTAAAATTAACTCAATTTTGAGTTAAAATTTAACACTGGTCAACACTGAAAATTGTTAAGCTGTTTAACTCTGAACAGAAATTAACTCTGTCTGGTGTTCCTTAATTTAACACCAAACTGAAATCAACTCCGGTTAAATGTTAATACATCACTAATAAAGAGTTGATTTACAACCCATATGGTGTTGCTTTAACTGTCATTATTTCACTCTGGTGCAATTTTTTAATGCTACTGAACATACTAAAAAAACATTAAACAACAAATAAAACAGAAAACGAAACTCAATATCAGTTAAAACTTTTATTAAAACATTCAGGCTTACAAAAATACAGTGCAAAAATGTCAAGTCTGCATAAAATGGCAATATGGTACAATATGAAGTACAGAATCAGTTGTACCATATTTTCTTTGAAGATCAAATGGTTTGAAATAACACAGCTCATTAACATTGACAACTGTTAAAACTTTTTCTGGATGCAGTCTGACTGTAAAAGCATAGTAATGCTCATCAAAACATACAGTTTCCATTAGTGTGCCACATAACAGTACATTTTCATTTTTGACAGCTAGAGTCATGATCTTACAAAACACTGGCATCTCATTTGCTACTTCTGTGCAGATAATAAAGTCAGGATGATACTCTGTGCCATGATGTTTGATCCACTTTACAGCATAGACTATTTCAGATATTACCACACCTAATTTTGAAGCAATCTCTGGGCCACCTCTAATTTCCCTGAGTTCCACCATCTTTCCTGGGCCAAGAGTCAGTCTGTACTGGCTAAAAGACTCCCAATACATTGCCATACAACTCTGGTGCTTTTTGGCTAGTGTTTTGGTGATGTTTTTGAAACTTTTTAATTGTGTTTTAAAGAATTTGTGCTTAGCTTCATAACGCATACACCATGTGTGCAAAATTGGACCAATTTTCCTTATACATTGTGGGTAATGTATCATGATGTGATGTTTTGGCAGAAGATTTTTTTGGGGGAATAACATTTTAAATAGCCGATGATGTTCAATTATCAAATGTTTAAGATAAGTGGTCATGCCATCTGTTAAGACAGGTGAAAAGACAATGTTAACAATCTGCAGAAGTAAAAGCAAAAGATGCCAGTGTTTATCATCTTTATGTATTAAATCTCCAAATATTAAAGGCAAATTGCGCAATAAGCACTAAGATTGAATAGCATTTAAACCTAAATCATTGCTTCCATCAAGCAATTTGACTTTTGGAGGACGGTTTCTCTGCTGATTGTAACCATAGTCAAAAGCATGTACTCTACCATCAAGATCATTGGCACTCAGAAAATTATGCTGAATGTACTGCAGAACAAGTTTTACCTCTAGCTGGGCAACTCCTTCTAGAATGTCGTGCATTATATCAACAGCAAAATTGGTGGCTGTGTTGAAATATTTGAGGGAATTTAATAAGCATGCCCTTTTGACACCATACACGTGAGGTAGTGTAGAATCAGACTGTAAAGTTTCACAATGCAGAGCATGCATCTCAGCAGTTCTTAGTTCAACCTCAGGACTATCTTCAGAGAACACTGACTGAAACTGATGCTTCTCAAGCAGACAAAAACGACAACAATATCGAGCCCCAAATGATTCCAGAAAGCCAAACAAGCTGTGCAGACCTAGGTTATCCCCTGTGACTTGAACGATAGTACCCTTGATGCATCTTCCAGACACTGGATTCTTAACTCCCTCAATTTCAAGCACTTTCAGATCATTGACCAGGGGCTCAATTATGGAGTTAAAACCATAGCGCTTAACATCCTGTGCATGAAAGAGGGCACATAAATGAATATTAACCAGTGAGGAGTTAAAAACTGGTGGGAAATTTCTTAATGAAAAATAGATTGCACCCAATTTATGTATACCTTTCTTTGAGCCCAGTGGATTAGCTGTCTCAAAATCATCATAAAATAACTGAATTTGTAAGGCATCTTTTTCTGTAGAAAATAAAGGACTGCTTTTAAAATGTGCTGCATCACTTAAGTCCACATAAATTCCTTCCTTTGAAATGTGTCTGGGTTTAAACAAATGGGTAAGTTGTGGATTTTTTAAAATTGTCTTTAGTGTTTCTAAAATGGGAATATAAGAAAATTTATCAGTCACAACAACTTGATCAAATGTTCCTGTAGTTTTATTTCTTCTGCTGTCAAATCTTGTGCCGAGTACTATTTCACTAGGTTCAACAATTCCCCATTTCGCTGTAAACAGTCGCTGTCGCTTGACTTCCGAATTTAACAAAGTAAATGGATTTTCTAAATTTGTAAAAGATTCCTCTATTTTCCTTTTACTAACAGTGTCCTCAGAAGATAGACAGAGCAAAGCTGCATCCTGGGCTTGACTATGAATCTCAAAAACCACTTCTTCCATAGATGAAACAAAACCATTTATTGCAGACTGACTTAAACCAGCAACTTTCAGTTGTGCAACAGCAGACGCACACATATCTAAAGTGTTCTTATTAGACTTTAACATTACAGATGTTGTGGCCACATCTTCAGCACTGTCACTCTGGTGAAACATTGCAGCACTACTTTCTTCCTCTGCCTCACAGATGCCACTAGGGTCACAACTCTGTTCACATTGTTCAGGATGTTTTATATTCAAATGTTTTCTAAAACCTGAGAAGGTACCAAACTCAGAACCGCATCCTGCCTCTACACATTTAAGTCGAAGGCTCTTTCCAGGAACCAAACCATGAACAAATCTGAAGTGCCTAACAAGCATTTTTGAACCATTTAATTCAGTCTCACAAACAAAACACTTCATGAGTGCACTGGAACTTTAGGCACCTAGTTAAGCAGCCTTGCCCTAACCTCAGCAACACGAGGACTTTCTTTCACTTTCCCAACATCTATGTTGTACACAGTGGTTTGAATGAAAGTGTACATGTTGTGCAGCATGGTGTTGTAAGAGGTGCCAAAAACATAATGTGCCTTAAACAGTTCATCAAAGGCACCAAGAGAAGAGGTGGACTTGCATGGAATGGCATGCTGATCAAGGATGATGAAGAACTGGTGAATTGAATCCTTCTGAGGACCTACAGCCAGGAGATAGGGCTGAGCGCTCGCAGAGATGTCTTGCAGCTGCTCCTCAATGTTTGTTCCACTCTAAAAAAAGCAAGCAAGTAAAAAAGAAACATCACTAACAAGTTAAATAATAAAAAACTATGACAGAACAATCATTAAATAAAACCAGCAAACAAACCTTCTTGAAGACAACAAGATGATTTTCTGCTTGAGAAGCAGAAACTTTCCCTGGTCTCTTCCGGCCTTGAGCAGATGGTGGAATCAGATGCAACAGTAGTAGTACTGAAGCAAGGTCGCTGTCCCAAACTGTTTAAACAGGTAACAAATAATTGGTTAATATCATAAATGTTAACTCGCAGCAAAACAATGTTGAAAACTAGAAGTTAACTACATAAAAAAAGCCAAAACTATATACAAAGTGACTAAAGCTACATTAACAATCTTAGTTTGAATACAATTATTTGTAAATCTGATAAAACTTTGATCCAAACTACCAACTAGGGCTGCACGATATTGGAAAAAATTGACATTGCGATATTTTTTTCCCCTGCGATATATATTGCGATATTATATATATATATATATATATATATATATATATATATATATATATATATATATATACTTAAAACTAGGGCTGTGACGGTCACCATGACAACCGCGTCACGGCCGTAGTACGTGACGTCACGCACTTTAAAACACAAATTACTGTTATGTTGCCAAGTATTACATATCTGTTAGAATATAACATTAGGCGCGATTCAGCAAGTTCAAGTTCAACCATGAATCTTGTTAGAAAACGAACTCTTACATCTGGGAACATTTTGGATATGTGCCGACTGAGAAAGGTGAACGAATCAATTTGGATTAAGCTTTTTGTATGGGGGTTTTAAGTAAAGTGTGTTTTAATATTCACTGCTGAGAGTCCAAACACTGAGGAGCAAATCCATCGATACGCAGATCCACGGGTCCCGAACCATGCAAGATAGTGGCGATTGACGGCGAGGGAAAAAAGCCATGTAGGCTTAATCAACTCCTGTCTTCTAAACGCAGAAGCCCAGCTCAGCCAGGCATGGCAGAGGCATTTGCAAAAATGGCCAGATACAAAAGAGAAAGTGATAAATGGAAGACATTGACGAGAAATGGAGCAACATATTTGGTAACTACTTAAGAACGCGCCGCTCCGCAGCGTAGAGAAACCTGCGTCGCGAGAAATGCGGGCGGCGGAACAGAAGGAGAAGCCCTCTCTCGCATGGTTGTGAAAAAGTACCCTGTCTGTGCATTTTCGCTACAAGCACACCGTCTGACAGTGTATTGCTGGAAACATTATAACCCCATTCTTCACTTAAACCGGACAAAGTCAACATGTTAGTTTTTCTAGCAAATAATTTAAAATATGACTACAAAAGGTGGAGAGAAACTACGCTGTTTTTTTTAACATCTGACTTATATTGTTACTAGGTTAATATTTTCTTTGTACTTATAATTATTAATATTTATATTATTATTACACTTATTAGTAAAGTGCCATTTAGACTATTTGTTAAGTTCTTAAAAATGTAACGTTTAATTGTTATTATTATACGGTTTCAAGCAGTTAAAGTAATTTAATATTTAACTACAATATTTATAAACAGTTTTGTGTTGTTTTATTAACGAAAGTTCAAAAATAAACATGTAGCCTACTTTTATACGGATATTTTATTTATTAATATTTAATTAAGTTATTCCGTAATTTTTACATAAAAGGTAAATTAACTTAAGTAGGCTACATTTGTTGATGTACGAGGTCATGGAACATGTTTGCCAGTAAATAATGTTCGCACCACTAAAAAAATAAATAAATGATTAACTAGCGAAAAGGATGCAATAAAAAATGCCAGCGCTTGATATTTCTTCACAATCGGATTCGTACGTGCAATAAGCCGAGACTATATTGCGCCGACAAGAACAAGCCCGAAAACTAAATCTAGAGAGAGAATTAATACTAGTTAATATTAATGATTATAAACACGAACTGCGTTGTATGATAAACCCATCACAATGATGTCGTGATCTTTGCTGAAGAACTGATATGTTATTGCCGTCTCCCCAGCCAGGTTTTCATCTGCTTTTTTTTCCCCCTTCTTCTGGATACAAACAATAAAGTATCAGCGCCAGACCAGTGGTTTAAATTATATTTTCCTTTCCTGATTTCTTTTCTTTTCATTAAAAAATAAATAAATGTTTAAAGTTTTGTATTGCATACCCTATATATTTTTTAAAGATTATCATTCAGCTTACCTGCAGCGCATGATGTTGTGTGCTGGGCAAATCCCCTTTACTCATGCTACCCATTTCATTTATGACACTGTAAACTTGACTTGGTAGGCTGATCATCTTTAAACTCAAAAGACTGCTTTTGCATAATGTGATGTTTCTTATTACAACTGTTAGCGGTGTTAAAATGAAAGCAAACATTAAAAAGGGTTTTGTTTTATCAATTGTATAGTTTAGTTTTAATAATAGCTAATTTATATAATAAATTATAATATTGATTATTGTGTAGACTACAGTGTCCAACAAAACAATTTTATTAGGTTACTCTAATAGACCAAATCCCTAACTGAAAAACGAATGTGAAAATGACAGGCAGTTGCGTCTTTGCTAAAATTAATTTAACGACAAATTTCTTTTGCTTTTTTCCCCTTTAGAGATCAAAAGAGCTGTATTTAAAGAATTGTTTAACGAAAACATGAATTGAATGCCCAGTTCTTTTCCGTGTGAGTTTAGTGCGCCTCTGCCGCGTCTGCGTTTTTAAGGTTACAGGTGCACCCTGACCTGACGCGGGGACCAGATCTCTGTATTGCTTTAATTTCTCAATTTTCATAACTGCATTGCATTTTCATATGGTAAAATATCAAAATGTATGTTCTGAAAGTAGTAGGAATGACGGGAGTGTTAGTAATTACTAACAGAAAGAACTTTCACTTTTGAGTGAACTGTCACGTGTTATTTTAGTATGATAAAATAAACAAAAATAGTAATGCAGAAAAGTATTTTTCGCTCTGCCAAGCCTTCTCTGTTGCTGTATAGAGAAGCAGCTTGCTCAGTCTCCTTACCCCGGCCCCACCCCGCCCACCGACTCCTGAACGTCTCACTCACTCACTCACTCACTCACTCACTCACTCACTCACTCACTCACGCGGGCATGCACTGCGGTCTCATGAGGAAACGCAGCTTTTTGATATAATGTTTTTCTTGTTCCCAAATACAAATAATTTATCAAGTATTGTTTGAAATAAGTATTCGTAAAAACACGCTATTCGTGCTTTTCCGAATACCGTATTCCGGTTCGGCTTCACCCATAATATATATATAGATTTTTATTTTTTTTGCTTTGCATCGCACCCTCCTGCGATGTGACTATCGCGGATGCGCACATCGCGATTTCGATGCTAAAACGATATATCGTGCAGCCCTACTACCAACATATAAAAAAATTTATGAATATGATTTGCAATAATACACACACATATATATGAATGAATTCCAATTGAATATGAACAATTAAAAATTAAACTGACAGTGTGTAACTATGGCTAACTTCATTCATGCTTGGGTTCCTTTAAATATTATAATAACCATGGTATGAAACAGTACCTAAACAATCAAAATTCTTACCAATATGAACATCATCTTCAGTGTCATCACGAAGAGATTCTGCTGCTAGCAAAAGTTCCTGTAAATCGCTGGTTGCAGGAAGTCTTTTGCACTGCTGAATGACTTTTTTCTTGAACGTTGTTGTCCACTTCTCTAGCAGCTTGCCTGACACTCCTTCTCCAAACATCAGAACAAAGTCTTGCTCAATCTAATAAGCATAACATTTTAATTATTGTAATGCTTAGGGCAAATCTTTAAACTCATGTCACCACTGACTATTTGTTTTTTATACAACAAACCATTTATCAAATATGATTATAAACACTTACCAAGCCTTTAATGTCCTTGAAACGAGGAAAAATTGTCAATAGATCACTGGACTGCATGGGATCAAGAACCATCTTACGACGATAGTCAAATGTCAGTTTCATTTTCTTCTTGATGGCATCCTCATCAGCAGAATGGTTCATGAATGCAATTGCTTCCTTGCACTCATCCTCACTCAGGACAATCTCTGAAGTAAACTTTGAATGCCTTGCTACAGTTGGTCCACCGGATCCCCGCTCAGCATACGACACTTGACCTAACAAACAACAAAACTATTTTAACTGTTTGTTTATACAAAATAAAAAAAAATCATCCAAGCACAAAGAAAATTAGATTGCTACATTTCTGAAGTTCATTTTGTACCTTCAAATGATCCTCGTCGTTCTTTAGCCAGGTTTCTCTGAATAGTTTTGATTCTCCATGCCAAATATCCGGTGCCACTCTCACCATCATAGTAATGCTCCTAAAGAGATAAAAATGGGTAAAAAGGGGGACACAGGAGCAAAATATACCATCTGTAGTATAGGTGTGTAAAAAAAAAAAAAAAAAAAAACGTGACAACACAAATGTAAAATTTTAAAAAGGTGCAAGACTTACAAAGCCATTTTTGGAATAGGGGTCACTGAGGTAAGGGAACAAAGCCACGATTCCTCTGGCATATTTTTCTTTGACCAGCCTTGGTGGGGACCCTCTGCAAAATAATGATTAATTATAAAAAAATAATAAAATAAATCCACAACTATATCAAGTAGCTATGTGTACACACAAATCAGTACTGTGCAGATTACCCATTTTTTTCGGTCATATCAGCTGCCAGGATATTAACCATTTTTCTCCTCGTTTCATCCTTTAAAGCCTTTGTTCTGTTATACTCATTTATTATACTCTCGCCTCCAGGTTTCTTGACAAGAACAGATTGCACCAGCTTTAAAATAAGAGGGGAAAAGGCAGGTTATAAACAAATTAAACAAACACACCTAACAAAAAGCAAAACATGAATTTTTAAATAAAATGTAAATTATATATTTTTTCACTTTAAATCATTTTTATGTAGAAAAAAAAAGTCCACCTTTTTTGCTTCATCATCCAGCTTCATACGCTTACTGTCAGGGCCTTCTTCAATAATGACTGTATCCTGAGAGTCAAGGGAGTCAAAGGATGAAGACAGAGACTGATCTAAATGCATAGAAGATGATTGTGGAGAGGCCGGTTCCAAATCTGTTTGCATAAACAATATAAGGAGGGGGGGGGGGTCAGGAAGTCTCTATGACAAAAACTGTGAAACATTACAGTCAAATAATGTGATAAAATACAAACCTGCACCATGTTTTATGGTGAGAACGCCAACGGAGGGATCTTTGATTAACTCTTCAAAAACATCACCATCCACCTCAGTCCCAGATTCATCCACAACCTTCACGTTCTCAGGTACATTTGGAACCCCAAACTTCAAAAAGGCTAAACAATACATAAATAATATATTGCATAATAATAACAAAATGTGAAAGCTGATCAGTTATATACTGGTAACTCTGAATATCATCTGGAAACATAACACAGCAGCATATACATCAGTATTTAAATTGACCACATACCAAATAAGAAATCTGAATAACAAAAGTGTAATTGTTTCTTACCTGCAGACAAAAAGTCCTCCAGGTTCAGATTGGCTATTTTAACAAACTTTTGTGCATCCCCAAATTTCACCTTTACCAGCATGCTCTGTAGGAAAAGAGAATGTTTCATACAGGTGCCAATGGGGGGGATTTATAAATGACACAAAAATGGCACATAGGTTTATAAATTGTTGCAAGATTTTATAACCATTAACATATATTTATTATTTAAGAATTGGTCATCCCAGTTAGTAAAGTAATTACACAAGTACTTAAAGGTTTTACTCACGATGTGATCTGTAGAGCCTTATATGCACAGAAACTTGGGGGAAAAGAAAACACCAATATGTCAACAATCATTTTTCTGTTATGTCAAAGTATAACACACATTCACCATAGAAAAAAAAGATTCTAATCCACTTAATTTTGAAATAATGTCTGTGCTGAAGGGTTGTCATGATACTGAATATTGGTACCAATTGGTACTGGAATTAAAAGCATCCATTTCCGCTAATATTTAAGTGTTTTTGAGTAGCCAAAATATTATTAAAATGTAATAAGTTGCTTCCAAACTCATCTACAACTAGCACAGACGTTGCCACATTACACAAAATAGTCATAACTTGGAAAGCTATAAGAGTAAATCATCATTTATTGTTTACCTGGTCTTTTGTCTATGATTATCAGCTTCAGCTCTTCAAACGTCAGTGGTTCGTTCACGTCACACAGACCCATATTAATTAAGCTGCCAAAAGGAGCCATGATTTTAGTTTACCTCTTGAGTCTTCTGGTTTTTGAGTCGTTCGTTTATCATGTGGCAGCACGTGAAGAGAGATGAATAAAATCCGAAGACTCGAGAAATGAACGAATCAAAACATTTTCCGGCTCTAAATGCATGACTGGCTTCTGTCTTTCACGCGATGAACGAACGACTCAAAGCACATAGAAGACTCGAAAAGGAACGAATCTTCTGCTCCACCAGCACAATTGTGCGCGTGCGCAATTAAACGAATCACTCCGAAAGGACTCAACGTTTTCGAGTCATACAAAAGATTGATTCAAAATGAACGAATCGTTTATGAACGACCCATCACTACATGTCACCGCTGTTTACCGGGCACAAACACAGATGCACGCCACTTGATCGTTTTAAAAGCCGCGAAGATGAGCTGGCGTGTCTATGGGCTGACATTTAAGAGATCCGCTGATGATTCACAGTTTTAAAATGATCCGCTGTCTCTGTATCGGTGTTTGCACTCGGTAAACAGCGGTTAAGTGCGGTGAACTGGTGACCTTCACGGCCAAACGGCGGGGTTTAGGACCGCGCTCAACAGCGAATTTCAGTTAACTGTTACCGAAAAACAGTATCATGACAACACTAACAAGCTGTTAAAATGCAACCTCTTAACAGAGAAACGTTAATTAGGAAGTAATTTGAAATGGACTGAAAATATTTAACCAGCAGTGAGCTCGACAGCCATACAGACACAGTTAATTTTACGCTACATATGTTCATATCATATAACTTTCTCTGTAAGTTACCATCTTAATATGTTGAAACAACAAAATACTGACCTAACAGTTACCTGGAGCATTGCAGTTGCTCTTGAAAGCAAAACTTCGAGGCTAAATGTAGCCTAACGTTACCGTCTTCTTCAGAGAGTTCACAGTACAAAACTAAATGGATATAAAAGTAAGATTAGAAATCGCAAAAACAATTTAAGTAAGATCATTGGCATCGTTTAAGCTTTATCTTTAACGTTAAGGTGACCACACTGTGATAAAATCGATGGAATGACACGGTCACAAAGTGACTCATAATCAATGTTTTAACAAACAAAACGCATCAAAGTACAACATATACCGTTGTGTTAGCACATTTACTCATATAAATCGATAAAATGATGTTTTAAGACGTTAAACAAGAGAGCTTACCTATACGCACGAGGGAGCAGAAAATGGCGCCGACAAAACTCCAACACGTTCTCTGCAGGGGGTAGATTGAGGGGCGGAGCTTAACAGAGCAAAGTTAACGACGTAGAATACAACTCTGATCATTTTCACCAACACAAGGGGGTGTCTTTCACCGTTTCTTGTAAAATTAACTCATTTTGAGTAAATGCAGATTAACACAGCTTAATTAACACAGCGGATTTTACTGTGTACAAATAGTTTGAACATCAACACTGTACTGTATTAACATAGCATCCTATTCATCAAAACCTGGAAATGTTGCTTGGACCTCATAAATATAGGCTATATGTTATCACATTTATAAATGGACCATTTTTTATACATTTTGAAATATGTTGCATGTACATATGACATATTTTAATCCTCTGCGTACCACTAGAAGAAAGCAAGTGTACAACCATGATACACATACAACAGTTTGAGAACCACTGATATAGACCCTTTCCTTCATGTCATTGGTCCATAAACGTTTCCTGCTTGTTGTCAAACTATTTCATAACTCTAATAAGAGGCAATTCAATCATAACTTACTGTCAAAACAGCTATCATTACATAATTTATCAATATCTGGACCTTTTTGAATTCTCGGAAGCTGCAGAAATTACAAATGTAAAACAGGAAATGCATTGGAACCATTGTTATTGTCTAAAACCTGCAGATGGTGTTTCACAACATGTTTTGAGGAGAGAATCGTGTGCTTTAAAGGAAGAAAATAAATGTGACGTTTTACACGATGGACTTCACATTGTCACAAATATGTCTTCACTCAGACCCGGTTCTATAGGTTTGCTAGAGGATGCCATTAGCACACTCAAGCGAAAGCAAGAGCACTCAGTTGAACTGTAATAATGGGATGTTGGTGAAACAGGTTGTCTTCTCTGTGTATTTGTGTTTACTCTCTGAACAGCGTCTGCGTTTCCTTTATGCGTTGTGTTTTTGCAGCTCTGAGCATTGTAGCCAATCACTGACAGATCTGTAGATTTCCTGAACACAATAGCCAGTCAGAGGTCTTTAAGGGAATCTGAAGTCATATGAGTTCTTGCACATTAACCAGTCAAGGTGTAGAGACAATGCAAAGATGAGATTGGTTATAACAGAACTTGGTGATATTCTGATGAACAGAGATAAGTGAGAGTAATAAGTGGTACATCTTACATACTTTACCTATAAGAATTGTGTTTGTAATATCCCTAATTTCATGGGTAGCGCTGTCG